ATGTGATTTGTCCTTTTCATATGTGTTCATTTTTTTAAATTGTATCCTTTGGTATATATGGTTGTGACTATTTTCTTCCACTATTTGATCTGAGGAAGTGGGTCTGGCCCACGAAAGCTCATCATCTAATAAACCATCTTGTTAGTCTTTAAAGTGCTACATAGTCCTGTATTTTGTTTCAGCTACACCAGACTAACACGGCTACATTTCTATCACTATTTTCATATCATATCACCTAACTTTATTTGGCCATTGCAACTGCACTGGTCAGCAATGAATAGTGTGAGAAATGTTTTATAGCTGGCATGTATCTTGGAGAACTCATTTTCTAAATCTATGGGGAAATGATGTCTCCGTCAGCATCCTTTTATTGACAAGTTATCAGTTCTTAATTTCAGTTCTGTCTATCTGTGAAACAGCTTCACGTTTTGGAATTGCCAAAAACAGATTTTTCCTATTTTCCTATCCGAATATGGGATGATTAGCCCAGTCACTTTGTACAGAAACATCACAACAGATACGGCCAATTTACTAACCCTTTTACCTTATTAACAAATGCTGAAACATCTGAAACAACAGATGTTTTACTTGCATTAGATTATTTCACTTCCACATTAAGTGCCTTACAAATCTTTACATTAGGGATATAAAATCCCATTTAAATCATTAACTGATTAAATGTAAGTTTAACCGATTAACTGATTAAACAGGGACGGGTGGGTGGGGGCAGCTCCAGCCCAGCTGCTTCCGGTCTCTTCCAGGGCTGGGAGCTGGCAGCCCCACATGGGAGACTGACAGTGCTAGAGCAGCACTCCACCTGTGGTGGACCACAGGCTGGGGGTTGCTCTCCAGGTACCGGGTAACTGGTACCAGTTATCATCTCTACTTTATATACTTCAGAATGAAACTAAACCAGTAGCTAATCCCAGGACTTTTGGCAGTCTCACATTTTAAGATTATTTGTCCTATTTTTGGTTAGACTGTGTCAACACATTGCATAACTTTTTAAAAAATGGTAATCTGCATACAGAAAACAACTTTTTCTTCACATTTTATGCCTTTAATGTTTTGTGTTTTATAAAACACAATCAGAACAGTTTTCATATGACTTTGTTACTAAATCCACCAGAGAATATATTTGTCAAGACGTTGCAGTGCTTAAATTAGCAGTCATGGGGTATCTCACTCAATTAAAATACCTTGGGCAGGCTTCTAAACACCTCTTTTGTGTTCTGTTTGATACAAACATGGCGATCAGTACAGATTTTTCAAGTGTTAGTAATCTCTGGACAGAGGGTAAGATACCTATCCATAACCTCAGTTGATCACTATTTAGACTTTAAGCGTGAAAAGGGCTTATGTCTTGAATGAACCTTTTCACCACTGAGGCTACATCTATACAATGATGTTTGCCAGAAGAGGCAATGCAAATGAAGCGCAGATTAGCATTTTCTCATGCTTCATTTGCATAATCTCTTCCTATCTGTTTCTGCCCAAGGGGTTTTTGCGCAAAACCAAGCAGTATGGACATTTCTTATTGTGCAAAACCAAAATGTCCATGCTGCTTGTTTTTGCACAAAAACTCCTTGAGAAAAAACAGATCTGAAGAGATTATGCAAATGAAGCACGAGAAAATACTAATCCACGCTTCATTTGCATTGCCTCTTCCGGCATCGTACTGTAGATGTAGCCTGAATGACAAATTCCTGCCTGCAAAATCTACTGTGATTTCAAATAGAAGAGCAAATGGCTAGTCCAGATAAAAGTAAAGGTTTTCTGTTTTTTTAATCTACAAAACTGTACCTCTGAATCTTTAATGGGACTCAGAGCAAGTCTGCGGTTCCCAGATGCCAATGCAAACTTATTTATAAAAACAATGAGGAGTCCTGTGGCACTCTAAAGACTAACAGCTTTATTTGAGCATTACCTTTCACGGGGGGGGGGAAAAAAACACTTTGCCAGGTGCTACCCCACTGAAGCTTATTCATGACACACAATACACGCCATTGTCTTCTGAGAAAAGACGCTACTCTACAGTCACTGCTTGGTCTTGGGAAAGTTTTTATCGCAGACAATCCCCACTACCCCTCTGAGATCTTGGGGAACACCACGCCTCTCGACTGCTTTACAGCAAGGGAAAGCAGGCTCGGGTATAGGCCTCACAGGCAGTGAGTCAGCGACAGTCAGGAGCTACTGTGTCTACACTGCCATGGCTCCTGGTGC